CTATCTATCTATCTATCTATCTATCTATCTATCTATCTATCTATCTACCTAGCTACTTTGGAAAGAATTGTAGACTATTGAAACTCTTAGAGTTGGACTGGTAAAAAAATAAAAGGTCCTTCCATTAATATTCCTTAACTTAGTTTTAGCTGTAACCATTAAAATATGCAGGGCATCCAATTTGGAATTGCCCACATTTTATTTATTTATTTTTTCCATTTCTAAGGTCATCCATTCTTGGCCATTTACAAGAAGATTAAAGATATCAGCAGAAATGCAAAGGGAACTGTTTCCTAATTATTTCATCAGCTTGTCCCTACAATCTGATTTCACCCTAGGATAATAGGAGTGACAATTTTACCTACACATTTGATTACCACTTTGAGGATGTTATTTCTAAAACCAGTTCTGTTTTGATAGGCTATTGTTTATTTTTTCTTGATTTTATTATCTTCTGCCTTTAGGATAGAAAATGACTGTTTTAGTTGCTAATATTCAGCAAACTAGAGAAATTCTCAGGCTCCTCAGAGTACAAAAACCATTTTGCAAAATAACCAAATGACAATGTGAAGGACACAAGTTTACAGTTACAGTTGGATTCTGGATCTGCATTTCTGTGCTGCATTGTAACACATAACTGTACAGGTGTTATTTACAGTAGGTGGTTTTACTTCTTCCTTGTGAATTGATTTAGCAATTGCATGATACGAGGCATCAATGCTTACACATTTTGACACCAGTTTTGGCAGAAGATTTTTTTTTTAGCTGAAGGAATAAACGTTTTCCCACTTTTTAGCTCAGTAAATAATCACTATGAATGTTTGCCATTGCCTTCATGGTTTCCTTTAGTTCCCAAACATTGATTCCCTGGAAGCCAAAAGAAAGCACTCATTTTGGTGGTTCTGCTGCATGTTGTTGTTGTTGTTTGGCTTGCCACCTTGTGCTCTCACTTGAACTGGAGCAAGTGCGTGAGTGTGTGTAGCCTTTTGTGTTGCCGTTCTATTTGTAAATTAAATATATCAAGAGTCACATCCCATCCACATTAAAACCACAAGTTCATCTAATCTCAATTTGGGGGAGAGATTTTAGCTCAGCTGACAGGGTTATATGCTGAGCTTTGCTCTCAAAGTTTTGCTAAAATAGCTTTTCACAAGCACCACTCTGGAGATCCAGATTTATTACACTTTGCCCCTTATCTACATATTTATGAAGCCGTCTGTTCCCCACTACCATCTCCATGCTGCTTATGCATACCTAATGCTATTTTCGTGGAGAAGCCATGTTTAATAAAGTAGTCTATTTCACTCCAACATAATAATTTCCAGTGACAATGATGGAAGAATGGCAATCTAGTTGAAGGGAAGGCTAAATGGATCCATAACAACCTAAGAGAGGGGTTTCTATATCCTTGGGGGAAAGCATGTAGCAGTCTATTCATAATTTAAATAAAAAATAAAAATGTTAATACAGTCCCTGTTCCCTCCATTCCCACACTCTCTCCCTCTGCCCACTTTCCAGCACCAGAGAACATCCAATAGAAATACGCACAGTCACTTGTTTTCCAGAGAGAAAACAAGATGCTCTTGCATTTGCTGCTACATTTATTGTCAAGTAAGCAGTGTGATTCACAACCAAAGTAATAGTTATCCAAAGGGAACCATTGTAAGACCAGCCCAAGCTTTAAAGTGATCAGGGGGTACCACTGAAGCTGAAGAATAGTTCTGACCAATGTGATTGTGCTGCAGTATTTCGCTGAAATGTTTGTGCGTGTGTATGTTTGTGTGTACATGGGCAGTACTTGGCATCATTTTCCAAATGTCTTCATTCAGGACCAAAGCTAAATGAATGATTTATGCATTTCCATGAATATAAGAGATGTGGTGACTCAATGGTTTAATGACACCATGGGAGATGGTGTCTTTCTGCTTCAGCGGTTCAACTTCTGGTACTATGTGGTGCTCAGTGCAGTCAGTCAGATTCCTGTCCTCTGAACCTTCCTGATTGTGGCATCTTTTTGTGAGGCAGCTCCAGGGGAGGGAGGAGGCCTTGGATGATATGCAGGAAGACCATTCACTAGGTAGCAAATTTTAGATTTCGGAAGAGATTAGACCTGCCATAAAATACTACTTTAAGTGGACCCTTATCTTCCTAGAGAAAGCATTTCTATGTTTCTTTATGTATATGCGCTCACATGAGAATAAGCGAGTGCAAGAGAGAGTGTGTTGACTCAAGGGACAAATAAAACTGGGGTTCAAGTTGCATAAGTTTAAAAAAAACCTATATGAGGTTAGGCAGAAGCATGTAAAGACAGATTGTTTGTATCTGGTGATTTTCATTTCGGCAGACAAAAGAGATCATTTCATTTATTGATTTACTGTGTTCTATAAACTCTACATCAGATCTAAATTAGGACTTCTAACATGCAATTTTCTTCTCCATTGCTTTTGATTGTCTCTGTGAAAGTCTGTTTAAATCAGACAAGGTTCCTTCCCCCTCCCTCTTTACTGCTCTGGATTGGTTTTGTGGGTTTATAGCTTTATTATGAAAATATTTAATTTTTTTGGGGAAAAATAAATAAATATAAAGCTTAAGGAGTCAGAAAAATCAAGTGCCGTTACAAAGGGTTGGACTTTATTTCAGGATCTTCATCCTTCGTTTCTTTCATGGAACAATATAAAGTCACAATTTCTAGACTCTGCGTGGATCTTACATAATACTTGTCTAGCCCACCATTCATTGTAATTTGTCACAAAAAAAGTTTCATATGTAGGGGCAAGTCCAAAACAATTGCCAGGAGTCAACACATGCGCATGCATTCACACACACTGAAGACCTGGATGGGAGGAGAGGAAACTAGTTCTTTCTTTCTTTCTTTCTTTCTTTCTTTCTTTCTTTCTTTCTTTC